CCCTGGGTGGCTGTCCATCCCTGAGCACCTTCCTGTGCTTCCCAGCCCACCTGTGTGTGCACGGTCACTTCAGCCCCGTGTGTGCTGGTGCCGGCAGCAGCTGAAATCATCAACAAGCTCCAGGTTTTGGGGGGAACGGCTCCGCAGCGGTGCTGGGAAGTGACACGTTTCGGTGTTTCTGTTCGGCCCCGGCCATGTGCTGCGTGCGGACAGCCCTGCTCTGCTCCGGGAGGACGGTCCAGCCGCAGGGCACCTCTGCTCAGCTCCGGATGGGAAGAGGCTTTCCCGGGAGACGGAGCTCGTTGACTCCTTATTGATGACTCTTTCCCTCCTGCACGTCTGGGGAAGAGACCTGCGGAATAAATCAGTGCAAGAGACAGATTATGGCAGCTAAAGACTCCAAATGAGATGATAATTGCTGTAGTAATGACAACGAAGACCTGATGCTGCCGATAAGGAAACATCTCTTCTGCTCTTGCCTGGTGCCCGGACAGGGGTTTGGCACGGGCGCAGGGATGATGCTGTCCCCAAGGATACCAGGGCCAGGCAGCGCTGCCCTCCCTGTGCCCAGGGCAGGGGCTGGGTGCCCACGGCAGGGTGGTGGGTGCTGGTCCCCACAGCGCAGGGATGGGGGTGTTGGGGCCGGGCGAGGGGCCCGAGGTGGGCAGCCCTGGAGGGGCTGTTTGTCTGGTTCTCCCGCCGGCTGCGTGTCAGCTCTAATTAGGCAAACTTCTGTATTCATTGTGAGCCCAGCCAGCGGAGAATTCCACAATTGAATTTTAATGCCCTAAAAACACATTACAATCAGCCTGATTAATTAAGAGATGGCTTAACATGGTGACTGGGCTGCAGAGGGCTGTGTTGGGGCGGAGGGCCACAAGGACCGGCTCCTGTGCCCCACAGCGGCGGGCACGGGGCTGAGCGTGCTGGGGCCAGCATTGCTGGGGCTGCCTGTGCCCTGGAGATGCCGGGCTGCATAGGATCTCTGCACCTACATGCAGGGAAGGGCTGAACTCATATCCTGGGCACCTGGTCAGCCTCGGCTCAGCCAGGGATGCAGTGGGAGCATTCCCTTCCCTCCCTGGGCCCTGCTTTCCCCTATCAGGTTGGCCACTGCTGAGCGCCTGTCCCCCATGTCCCCACTATGACCCCACTCTGGGCATGGGGGCTGACACTGTGCCATGCCACTGCCATGAGCAGGGCACTCCTGGGGGGAACCCGCTTGCTTTTGTTTGTGAGTGAACTGCTGGCAAGCTGGCAGGCTCCTATTAATAACTAATAGCTAATAACTAATATATACTATTAATAACTAATGATGAGCTGGGAGGTTCTGATTAATTTGTATCTGCAGTGATTCCCTGGGGTGCCAGCAACGCTGGCTAATGGACTGCCACTTCCCTCAAGGCAGCTCTGTCCTGCTCCCAAGCCACTGCTTGATGTCACCATGCTGTGCCAAGCCCAACCCAGGCTGTGTCCCCACATATGTCATTGCTTGGGGTGGCCTCACCAGCCCACCTGGACACTGTGGGGTGAAGCACCCCTAGGGGAGCCCTTCCCCCGCATCCCACCATGGGTGCTGGATAGTGGGAGTGATCCTTGCAGACCTTTTCTGGATTGAATTCCACAGGGTGCCCTGGTCAGGGAGATGGTTTGGCCAAAGCCCATCCTCCCTCTGTGTAATGAAAGGAAAAGGGAGGAATCCATAATCATGATGTAAAGGAGAGGGTGCAACCAGCAGGACATCAATCAGAGGGGAAGTGATAAAGGGAGCCTCTTGACAGGAGGGGCCAGCAGTGGAGGGAGGGATGGTGGCAGCATCATGAGGCCAAAGGAAATTTTGGCATGGCAATAAATCCTGGAGCGGCTGGAGCTGCTTGAGCACTAATGATGAGGAGAAAACACCAGCCACGTTTAACAAATATTTCTGCTCTGTATTTGGAGAGAAGCAGGACGACATGCTTGAATTGTACAAGAGTGATGAAACCATCTATTAATTACTGCCGGGAATGTTAAACAACATCTGCCAGCTCAGCGGGCCCAGGCACCGCCCGCCCTGGCCTCCTCCAAGAGCTGGAGGAGAATTTGGCCTCCTCATTAATTTCCTACAAAATCTTGGAATAGCAAGAAAATCCTGGCCAGCTGATGGAGAGCCCACCCATGCTGGGAGCTGCAGGGAGGCAGGGGTGCTCAGTCCTTAACTTGGCTCTGCTGGGATTTATACCATGTTTGCACCCAGTTCAATCCTTCTTGATGAAGAATAGCCGTAAGTTGGGAAAGGTTGAGCTTTTGTTTCCCATAACTTGGTATACAGATTTCATGTATATTCATGTGTTTTTGGAGGCTGCAAGAAAGTGAGGCTTGAGCTGGACAACGTGCTCATTAAGGCATCCTGCAGAAATCTTTGTCACAGCTTTGGGAGGGATGCCTGGGATGCCCCCTCCCAGCCTGAGCCCCGGATTCCCTCGCACAGCCACAGGGTGCAGGGGGGAATGGGACAGGTCTGGGGGTGCCCAGGAGGGACAGGGTAAGAAGTGTCAGTGGGATGGCACCATCCAGACACCCCAGCCCGCACCTCATCCCTCATGGCCCCCGGGGTGCCAGCTGAGCCACCTGGGAGCCTGGGACAAGCAGTTAAAATACAGAAATGTCAATTCAAATTAAAACATCTTTCATAAAGGAGAAAGATAATACCTGCCCTACAGCAAAATGAGATGAGAGATTTATGGGGTACGGCGAGGACTGGTGTCCCCACTTCAGTGGGTGACGTCTGCTGTTGGCACTGCAGGGCACCCCAAGGCACTGCCACCTCCCTGTCCCAGCCGTCACAGAGGCCAGAGCTGGGTCTGCAATGAAATGTCAGCTCGACAATAAATGTGCAGAAGCTACGTTTTCTTCAGGCTAATAAAACTCCTGGGTAGCAGCAGAGATGCTTGGTACAGAGCTGCCCTCTCTCTCCAGTGCCCTCTCCTCATCTTCCTTGGGGATATGGGGCCCATCTGACCCCATGCTCATTGTGCTGGCTCCTCACACAGAGGCTGCGGAGCACAGGCCCCAGCAGCAGCGTGAGACACAGCTCCAGAGCTGTGTGTGCCACGGCAGGGAGTAAATCCTCTGCGTCCTGTCAAGGTAAAGTGACAAAACACCAGCCTGCAATGCAGGAACCGCAGTTATAACATGAGAAAATCAATGCAATATATTACCAGAGACATAAAGATGCTATTAATGCTTCAGCACAGAGCCCTCAGCTTCGCCTGCCATCGCAGGGCAGGTTCACATGAGGGCTCTGTGCATTCCCATCTGTCTGCTCAGGTCCCTCACATGCTGGGGCTCAGTTCAGTGTTTATTCACTGACACCCCCACCCAGCAAAGCTTTCCTGCTCCCACACACTGACTCCTGGGCTTTGACCCTACCAGGGGCCTGGGCTCCAGCTGGAGATGCACCCAGGGCTGCTGGGGCAATGCACGGCCTCAGTGAATGCCTTTCTGAGGTGCAAGGACCCAGGGAGGCTGCGGCCAGGCAGGTACTAGCTCTCTTTCTAGGGATTCCAACGACTGTGCAGCTCTGCCATCCACACACCTGCACTCAGGTGCCTCCTGGAAAAGACTGAAGAGGATGACAACCCCTGTGCACCACAGAGTGAGGCCACAGGACTTGTATAAGGCGCAGCGCACCCCTGGCATGGCGGCTGCCGGCAGGGAGCAGTTTGTGTCCTGGGGACGTGTGTGCTGGACAAGGAGGAGAGTTGGGGATATACAGGCAGCCAGCCAGGTCACATCACTCAGCAAAGCCTGCCCCAACACCAGGGAGCACGGAGGGACACCCCAGCAGGGGTGATGGGGCCAGGACACAGCTGCCAGGGGATACACTGGTCTTGGTGTACAGGTGGGGAGGCAGGCTAGGTTGGTGCTGGATCCTGTGCAGAGGCTTTTCGTCCCTTGGCCCCTTTGCATCCCAAGGACATGGATGCCAGTCCCTGCAATTGACAGCTTGGATTATTACTGAGAAGTTGAGTCAAGCCTCTTCTAATTGATTAATCAATAGCTTTAATTGAGTTGAGACTCCTTAGTGGGTAGTTTCACCACTGTTATCCCCTTCGCCAGCACTACCCCGGCACTGACCCCCACCCAAAACCTGTTGCTGTGGCTGGCCTCTGCCCAGGCTGGGCTTCCACAGCACAGCGAATTCCTGGGGCTTGCATTTGCCTGGGGCTGCAAAGGGCTACTGCAGCAGTGACAGAGGAGCCGGACCATGCGGGGCTCCCCCACCACGGGGTAGGAGCCCCCAGGAAAAAGCTGAAACACAAGGGGCTGCAAAATGTCCACGGCTCATGGTAGCAGTTCTGTCAGCCACGGCAGAGCCCCCGGGCATGGGCAGGGCAGGACACGCAGCCCAGCCGTGCACCTGCGAGCGCGCCTGGGGCACACAGAGCACGGGGAATGGGGACTGGGGGCGCGGGGCTGCCTGCGGGCACCGCCGGGGTCACACTCCTGCACGCCCGAGCCACGGCTCTGCAGAAGTGGAGATGAACATTTTATGGTAAAATATGCAAAGCACGGGACAAAAGGAGAGAGCGTTTCTCGCATAATGAGACGCTGTCAGAGACAAGCTCCCCAGGAAACCAATTAAGAGGGCGCTTCGCGTGTGTCAGGCCAACACCTGGCAAAACCCCCTTTCCCAGAGCGGATTCCAGGCGCGCGGCTCCAGGCGCCCTCAGCACGGCCCTGTCCCGCAGACCCTCGGCCGCAGCCGGGAACCCACGCGTGTCGCAGGCGGCACGGGGCCGGCTCTGCCCGCGGGGGCGCGGCGTGGGCCGTTCACCCACGGCCGCGAGCACCTCCCGGAGCCCTCAGCGCGCCGCAGGCCCGCAGGGCTGAGCCCAGCACGGCCCCCGCCGATGGGGGCTCGCTGCGCTCCGCGGGCGGGCCAGGGCTGCCCGGGCGGGACGCGGTGCCCGGAGTGGCCGCGGGAGCACCGCCCCGCTCCGCTCCGCCCCGCCGTCATGGCGCTGCGCTTCTCCGCCAACCTCTCATGGCTCTTCCCGGAGCTCCCGGCGCTGCCGGCGCGGCTGGAAGCGGCGGCGGCCGCCGGGTTCGGAGCGGTGGAGGCGGCTTGGCCGGCTGGCTGCCCGGCCCAGGAGCTGCGGGCCGCGGCGGAGCGGGCGCGGGTGCGCATCGCGCTCCTCAACACCCCCCCCGGTACGGCCGCGTCCCGCTGCTCCCCCCGTGCGTGGGGTAGCGAGGAGCCTCCGCCGACCCTGCCTCTCTCTCCCAGGGGACCAGGAGGCGGGCGAGCTGGGGCTGGCGGCCGTGCCCGGGCGGCAGGCAGCCTTCCGGCAGGGCCTGGAGGCGGCCGTGCACTACGCCAGGGCCGTGGGCTGCCCCAGGTAGGTGCGAGGCGAGACCCCCGCTCTGGCAGCGCCCCCGGCCCCGCGGCTGCCGGGGGGCTTCCTCTGCTGCCCCCCTGCTCCAGCGCTGCCTCTGAGCGGAGCCTGCCCTTTGCCCCGCCGTGCCTGCCGCCGCTGGGTCACGGAGCCTCTCCCGGGCAGCATCTCCTGCTCGGCTGCGTCGGGACGGAGCCAGCTCGGGGCAGACCCCGCTGTGCGGGACCGCGGCCTCAGCGTGCTCGCTGGGAGCGGACCCAGAGCTGCCAGGCACGAGCCCGACCCTGCCCTTCGCAGCAGAGGCTCTTGTTCCCACCTCCACACAAGAGTCCCCAGGATAATCCTCCCTTTTTCCTCCTCAACTGCACGAATCGTTTCCACCAGGACACCACAACAGTTGCTTTATTGAGGCCACGCTGACTCCAGCACAGCAGAGACACCATAAAAGATGCAATTAGCCTGGCACAGCTCCCTTCAGCAAACCAACAGGGCCCTTTTATTCCACTTACTTTGCACCATTCTTTCCTGTTGCAACTCAGTCCAAAGCCCTGTGGAGGACATGGGCTAGGCATGCCATAGGCTGCCCAGCACCATTTGCACACTGGTACTGGCACATTGAAAAGGTTTTTATTTCTACTGCATGCCTTCCTCCAGTGGTGGCTGAAGATGGCCTGGCGCTTGAGCTCTTCATAGCAGGGCAGTCCAGCATGGCGCACTGTCCCCTCCCTGCTCACAGCCAGCAAGCAGTGACACCTCGCATGGGGCAGGACCCTGGCACAAGCAGCATGCCAGTTGCCCAACATGCTGGTTTGGGGCCCCGCCAAGGAGCAAGAGCCCCAGAAAGTTCCAGAGTCAGGGTGAAAGAGCTGAAGGCAGTTAACAAAATGGGGAAGAAGCAAGGTCTGTGATTTGTCAGGCAAAAGGTTCAAAGTCATCCCTCTGTGTACTGAGGTGGGACAGTGCATATTTGTGTCCTGGCTGGCAGCTCGCTGGCTGCTATTGTGCCTCCTGGAGGAGAGATGGCTCTTCTTACCTTCTGTGTCTGCTCCCCATGCCTGGCCTCCCTTTCCATCAGCAGAGGAAGGTGTATTAGATCAGGCCAGCTGCTCCCAGTTGCTGCCTGTGATAATCTTTCTGTCCCTGTAGGATTCATGTGATGGCTGGGCGGGTTCCCTTGGGCACAGACCGGGCTGCAGTGGCAGGTGAGATGGAAACCACCTTCATTGAGAATCTCAGATACACTGCTGACCTCCTGTCCCAGGTAAGTGGGGAATGGGTCCTGCTTTGTGTGTGCAGCTCTTAGGATACCCAGGATGGGGAATATCCTACTAGCCTGGCATGGGGAAGATATGCTTCCTGCTGCAGAGATAACAGGATGCTCTGCAGGGTGACATTACTGTATTACAGGAAGACATGATTGGACTGTTGGAGCCTATTAACAACCGCATCACTGACCCTCGCTACTATCTGAACACCCCACACCAAGGTAAGCCAGACAACAAGAGTCTCCTTCAGAGGAGAAGGATCTCCAAAGTCTGAAAGACAAGAGGTTGCCGCACAAGGAGGGAGATGCTGAAGGAGCACAGTTGATAAAGGAGGTCCTGGGGCTTCTCTGCAAAGCTTCCACCCTGGGGGCAATGGTTTCTCATTTCTTGCCCACTTAGCTGCTGCCATCCTGGAGAAAGTGGGACGGCCCAACCTGAAGCTGCAGCTGGTGAGTAAGCATTGAAGCTCTCTGTGAGAGAAACTTGCACAGGTCCACAAAGGAGTTCTGGTGGCCATGGGCTTGTTATACCTTCTTGGGGACACTGGACAGGGACCATAGCACAGCTGTCCTTAACTGCTCACTCCTGACCAGCTGCACCCTCCATTTTCCTGTCTCGCCCCAGGACCTTTTTCACTGCCAGATCATGGATGGCAATTTGTCACGCAACCTGGAGACATACTTCCCGCTCATCGGTAACACCCTGCGCCCAGACCACTGGGGAGTGGCTTTGAGAGGGGGCCCTCCTACTCCAGGCTCTGCTGTAGCTGGCTGGGAGTGTGGGGCTGCTCTTGGGTCACCTTGTCTCATGGCCAAAGAAGGCTGCAGGCAGGGCTGCCTTGGGCATGGCTGCTCCCCTTCCCTCCCTAGGTCATATCCAGATTGCACAGGTACCAGGGCGGCACGAGCCCGACAGCCCTGGGGAGTTGAACTTCCCCTACATCTTCGAGCTCCTGGAGTCCCTCGGCTACGCTGGCTACGTGGGGTGCGAGTATGCTCCGAAGGGTGAGTACTCTGCAGGTCTGACCCCCATGGGCAGGGCCAAGCACGGCTGGGTACTGTGCAAAGACAGGCAGGTCCTGGGGGGGCACAGGTAGTGGATGTCATCCCTACCTGGGGATGAGGGCTCTGTCCTGCTGCAGCAGGAGACCTTGTCTGTCACTGCAGGAGACACCCTGGAAGGTCTGGGCTGGCTGCGATCCTACTGGGAAAGCCGAGGGCTGCAGCATGGTGGGACCAGCATGGCAGCCAAGTAAAACTAGAAAACCATGAGAATAAAAGACAAAGTAATGGCTTAAAAGAGGAGCACGTGTCTTCTCTAGGACTAGGGGAGTGTGGTGGGTGGGATGATTTCCTCGAATGAGGTTAGGAGCATCTATGTAATTTCCCTCTCCCAGGCTCTACTGGGCCAGCCCAAGCTGTTGGACCCTCATCTACACAAGTACCACCTGCAGCATGTTTAATTTAGTGATGGCTCAGGCACCACTGTAGGTGACTTCAGGTACACAGAAAACTTTCAATTCCAGGCTGCAGGGGTGTTCAGGGAGAGGTTTCCAGTCTCCCCAATAAGGGGAGCATTCCAGCTGGTGCCTGAAGTTGTGGAAAGAACACTTTGGACTTCCAGGTACTGAAGTTCTCAAGGCTGTTGCCAGTGCCCAGCACTGACTCTGCAGCAGGGCTGCAAGTGAAGCAAGCAGTTCCCTCACAGGCTGTCTGATCCAAGGTAACAGGCTGGGAGCTGCCTGCACATGGATACTCCAGGCTGACTGCCCTGCTGCTCCTGCTCTAGAGCAAGTGTAAGATTCCAGAGCAAACCCAGTCAGCCCCATAGCTAGGGCTTCTCTGCATCCTCCACAGGCAGCATTCCACAGCCTACAGCGACTGAGCAGGGATCTGGTTCAGTTTATTTCACAGATAGACCAATGGCTCAAACGTACAACTCCATAAAACCTTCCTGTGATCCAGTTCACCCTTCCTGTCCCATTCATGCTCTCCCAAGGAAAGCAAAAGGCCAGAAGCAGTTGTCCTCACTGCCAGGCAGGCAGCACTGCACTCAGGAGTCTTTCCTCCTAAAGCCAGAGCACTGTGCAGTGCTGCCCTGGGCAGAAGATGATGCCGTAGATGCTCCTCAGTGCTTTCCCAGCAGGCAGAACTCACCAATGGTTGCCGAAGCCATGTCCCTGAGAGTTGTTCTGCTTCAGCCAGGCTGCAGCAGCCAAGTTCCTGCCCTTGCTGTTTGGTTCAAGGCCATTCAGTATCAAGCCCACTGAAAACAGCACACAAGGGCCCTACCAGCCAGCCAGCGAGGAGGTGCACACCCCCAGGCTCCTCGCTCAGTAGCCATGTGTGCCACTGGCAGCGCTGCCTGCAGTGCCCATGCCCAGGTCCCCCCGAGACCCGTTCTTCCCCATGGTTGCAATGGCACTGTCGTGCCCAGGTCGGAATAGGCGTTGCTCCAGGATGTGGGTGCCGGTGCTAGAGCAGGCCTGTCCACAGGTTGAAGCAGGCGGTGTTGATAACTGACTCCAGGTGATGGTAGGTGGACACAAGCTGTGGCAGAGGACTCTCGCTGTTCTGGGGCTGCACTGGGAACGGCTCCCGGAAAACCACAGTGAGGCTCTGCCAGGAGAGAGGAGAGGGTCAGGGGACAGGATGCAGACAAGCACTGTGCAATCCCTAGCCCAGATGTGTGGACACTTTTTTGGCAGTGTTAAGCAAATACTGGGAGAAGACCCAAAACGCCAAAGCACTAAGCTAGTGCCTCTTCCTGTGACAGAGCATGTTTGAGCCTCCTCCCAATTCTTCTGCTGGAAATTCGGTGCAAGGACTTGCCCACTCTGTCCCAGCTCTCATACATCTGCAGTTACACCAACCCTGGCAGCAGCCACAGGAGAGGAGGGGATCCTACTGCCTCCACAATAACAGGAGCTTCCAGGGAAATTAAGAGGGAAATTTCTTCTCCAAGGGAAAGAGTAGGAGTGCAACAAATGGGGAAGGGGAGGAGATGAAATGTAATAACCGCAATCCTAAAAATAAATGCTGCCTGCTCCACTCTGACTAGTGACTGTACTGAAAAGGCAGAGCAAAGGCAGAGAAGAACAGGGAGCAGGCAGAGGTTGCAGGAGCTGAAGCAGAACAAAAATGTGACTCAGTGCACTCAGATCAGCGTCACGGAGGCAAGACACAGGGACAGGATGTTCTCCAGAGTTGAAATGCAGTACATCCAGTAGCCAGGGTCCCTTACCAACTCATAAAGCCATGAGAAGAGCTGTGTAACTACAAAACAGCAACTGTACCACCATCATGTAGGAGGAGAAAGGAAGTTATTTGTGAGCCCAGCTCCAGCAGCATGCAAGGCCTCGGAGCAGACTAGGGGAGACAGAACCATGAGGGAAATGCAGCTCAGTGTTACCAAAGTGATGTGCTAATGCTAAAATTCTCTTTGATAAGGCAGTATTTCTAGACAAAGGAATCATGGTACATCTTATCTGAGATTCAGGATGGATTTGATGTGGTGTCACATGGGAAATTTAGGTAAGCTGAAAAGATAGGAATTAACCAAAAATTATAAGATGAGAACATGGCAGTCCTGAAAGAGGAAACAGAGAGAGGTTACAGATAGAGTTCCTTCAGGACAGGCTTTGGGACTCACATTGCCCAGTACTTTAACAAGTCTGGTACAAAGATGAGGAGTATGCTGACAAAATTTGAGGCACTAATACAAAAGAGAATTGGGATAATGAAGAAAAAAAAAAAAAGAAGCCCTGAGAGAGTTTTGAGAGGCCACAAGAATGGGATGAATGCTAAGTACAAAATACAACGTTATGAAAACAACGGATTTCTGTTACAAAATGAGAGTCACTGGGAGAGGGGATGGACATTCTGGGTTTATCATATCAATGGCCACAAGATGACACTATGACCATCAGGTGGCAGGAGGCACTGAGCAGCCTTTCAGCAAGCACCACCTCTTCTGTCTCCCCTACCTGCTTTTCAGATGGAGCATGATTTATTTTATATGGCATCAGTTACTCTGCAGTCTCTGCAGAAGCCTTATTGTGGACTGAAGCCTCTTGTAGATCCCCTGCTCTCACATGGAGCTGCATCCCCTGTGATCCATCCTGCACCCTGCCTGGGAGCACAGATGAAAGCAAAGTATTTTTGCCCTCAAGTTCAGTGAAGACAAAGGCTCTTGCAGGTTTGCTAGACCCTGACAGTGCAGGTCCCCTTCCTTTCTGCCCAAGTAGGAGCAGCCCACAGCACTGGTGACCCCTCCCAGCCAGACCCAGTGTGATCTGACTTTGGACTGAATACAGAAGGACTGCTTAGCCTGGATAGAGAGACAACTGAGAAAATGATCCAAAAGTAATCCTGTGAAGGAAAAGAGGATCAAGTGTTCACTCTTTTCTAATACAAGAACAAAGGGACATCACATGGAAAGAACAGTAAGAGTTTCAAAAATAAGCCAAGGAAGTTCTTAATCTAGACTGCAACTGCTTCATGGGGGAAGTCAGGGGAAATCATGGATGCCAGAAATTAACCGAAGGAAATAAAGCTGTGGAGGGCTATTAAATAAATGCAAAGGCCAATTCTAGCTCAACATGGGCCTAAGCTACAGATTTTCAGATGCTGGGACAGTATTTAGGAGAAGCATTATAGCTTCTTGACCTGGTCATGTTCTCATGCACACCTGCCCTTGGCCACTGCTGGATCAATCTAGACAGATTCCTGGCCTGAGCCAACATAGCTGTTGTTCTGTTCCCAAGTACTCACCGTTTTTCCTGAATGAGAATCAAGAAACACAAGAACAAAGCAATCTGTGAACTTCTGGTTGAGCACAACCTGTCAGGAGAGTCACAGAGCACATTAGAAAGGAGCCAGTGCAGAACCCACGACAGGGACACAGGGACAGAGGCTGCAGGTGGGCTGTGTCTTACCAGATACTGGGTGCCGGTTTCAGCATTGTGGAAGTGCCGACAGCTCTGGGGAAAGCGGCTCAACAGCACCTTGATGAGGCTCTGGTACCAGGAGACTGTCATGGTGAGGAAGCATTCCTGAAGGCATAGAAAAGGCCTGATCTTCAGCCTCCCTCTAGCCATGGCACCAGCAGCCACAATGCTACAGCAGCCTTCAGACCCCAAAGCAGATGCAACCTTCACAGCCCACTGAGGATGCTGACCGAGGGCTGTTCACTCCCTATAGACAGGTCCACGCAGTCTCCCCCTTCCCCTGCCACCTAGGAGCTGTGTTCCTGCCTCTACCTTCCCACCAAGCAGGAAGAGATGTGCATTACAGGCCCCTTTCACCTGGCACCCCACTCCATCCCAGAGCAGAACAGCAGAACAACAGAACCCATCCCTGCTGCTCACCAGCTGGGGGTCAACATCTGCGATGGATTTCCCATGCACAGCATCGAGCAGCTCCTCCAGCTCCACCAGCGAGAGCTTGCCCAGCTTCAGCTTGTCAGAAGCCAGAGGCTCCAGAAGGAAGAGGCGCTTCCAGAGGTTGTCCCTGCGGCAGTGGCACTTGGCCAGCTGCACCATGCTGCTGAGCTGCTTCTGGGCTGAGGCCACCTCAGAGGCCAGCAAGGGGAAGAGTGGAGAGGTGTAGAAGAGCCCTGGCCCCAGTTTGACCTGTGTGCCCCCTGCATAGAACTCGCTGCTGTCCTCCACGTCCTGCCACAGCTCCCGCTCTGCCGATGGCTGCTGGCCCAGGCTCGGCTCCGGCTCCGCTGCCTCCCAGGCCGCCCGGCCTACCACAGGCTCCAGCACTTCCCGCTGCAAGCGCGGCAGCTTCTTGAAGCGGCGCATGTCGGCCGTGAGCCGCGGAAAGAGCTCCCGCTGGCTTGTCATGATGACGTAGAAACGCAACCTGGGAGCAAGGAGACACTTGTTGAGCTGGAGAAGGGCTGCTCCCCTCTCAGCTGCACCGCAAATGAACCACAGGCCCCTCTGTCCCTGCCAGAAAGGATGCATCTCTTCCCAGGTTCTCACAGTGATCCTCCCCAGACACCAACAACTCTGCCTGTGCTATTCCAGACAGAACCAGTCCCTCCCAGAGCCCTCGTCCCCAGCCAGGAAGCTTTGCTGCCACTGGCCCCCAGTGCTCACCGGAGCATGCGTCTCTCTGCCTCGCTCTGCTCCTCAAACGGTGCCGCACTGTGACAAACCAGAAGGGACACATCGAAGTCATCATGGTGACGCAGACCTTCAGAGTCCTTGTAGGAGCCGGAGCTGGGATCAAAAAGCACATCAGTAAGACGGAAGCCTCACTTTGTTCTCTCAGGGCTCCTGATCACAA